ATGGGAGGTATGGGAGGAAACATGTACAAGAGGTGTCCCTTCCAGGGAAGGAGGAACACGTCCGTGATGGAGCCTCGGCTGTCATTCAGGAAGGAGCAAAACTGCAGGCATTTCCTGTTGCGTTGTGTGGCGAACAGGTCTATCTGGGAAAATCCCCATTGTTGGAGGATAGTGTTCATAACATCCAGGTGTAGGGACCACTTGTGGCCGTGAAAGGACCTGCTGAGATAGTCCACCAACTTGTTCTGTACTCCGAGAAGTTACGATGCTTCCAGGTGCATCGAGTGAGCTATGCAAAAGTCCCACAGTCTGAGAGCTTCCTGGCACAGGGGAGAGGAGCATGCACCCCGTTTGTTTATATAAAACATCACTGTTGTATTGTCCGTCATGACTGATACAAACAAGTTCCAGGTGAACTTGGAATGTTTGGCATGCTAGGTGGGCCACTCTCAGCTCCCAAATGTTGATGTGAAGGGAGAGCTCCACCTGAGACCAGAGGCCATGTGATCTGAGGTCTCCCAAGTGTGCACCCTACCCCAATGCTGATGTGTCCAAAATTGGAGACCAAAATTGTGGTCTGTCTAAAGGGACCCCTGCACACACCACATGTGGGTCGAGCCACCACAGGAAGGAGTGTCAAGTCCAATACCACCCCTATAAACTCTATTTGCTGCATGGGGAATAGGGTTGACTTTTGTACATTCTGAAGGTGGCCCAGGTCATCGAAAGTAGCCCTTTTGAAACTGACTTGTGCTTCCACTTGTGCCTTGGAGCAGCCCTTGATTTGCCAGTCGTCGAGGTACAGAAACACCTACACCTGTCGCTTGTGCAGGAATGTAGCCACGGACTGCCATGCACTTAGTAAACACTCGAGGAGCCACTGACTGGCTGAACAGGACGACTGTGAACTGGTAAAGATTGTGGTTCACCATGAACCTGAGGTACCTTCTGTGGGACGGTGTGATTGAAATATGAAAGTGTCCTTCAAGTTGAGGGCGGCTTACCAGTCCCCCTGATCCAAGGAAGGGATAATGGAGGCCAAGGAGACCATGCGGAACTTCAGTTTCTTCATGAATCTGTTGAGATGTCGCAGAGCTAGGATGGGCCTGAGGCCTCCTTTGGCTTTCGGTATTAGGAAATACTGGGAATAGAAACCCTTTCCCCATAGCTCCTAAGGAACCTTTTCCACTGCCCCCAGTGATAGAAGCGAGTGCACCTCCTGTATGAGGAGTTGCTCGTGAGAGGGGTCCCTGAAGAGGGATGGGGAAGGGGGGCTGGAAGGAGTGGGAGGGCAGAGAACTGGAGGGAGTATCCCCTTTCTACTGCGCGGAGTACCCAGCGATCCGATGTAATACAGGCCCATGCAGGGTAGAAAGGGGACAGTCTGCACGAGAAGGTGAGGCGGGATGGATCCAGAGTCCGGACTGATGTGTTGACCCTGGGTGCATCTTCAAAAGTTTTGTTTCTGGCCAGAAGACTGCTTCATCTGACCAGAGCCCTGGTTTGACAAAGGGTGAGGCCTCCTTCTATTTTTTCTATTCCGTCTGCAGGAGAAATCTTGCCTGGTAAAAACGAGGCGGAGGCTGTGACTTAAAGTGTTTCCTTTGATTACCCGGAGTATGGAGCTCAAGGGACTTGAGTCCTTCAGGCTGTGGAGCTGAGGTCATCAAGTCCAACCGTCTGCTCAAAGCAGGACTAATCCCAACTAAATCATCTGAACCAGCGCTTTGTCAAGCCGGGCCTTAAAAACCTCTATGGATGGAGATTCCACCATCTCCCTAGGTAACCATTCCAGTGCTTCACCACCCTCCTAGTAAAATAGTTTTTCTTAACATCCAACCTAGACCTCCCCCACTGCAACTTGAGACCATTGCTTCTTGTTCTGTCATCTGCCACCACTGAGAACAGCTGAGCTCCATCCTCTTTGGAACCCCCTTCAGGTAGTTGAAGGCTACTATCAAATCCCCCCACTCTTCTTTTCTGCAGACTAAATAAGCCCAGTTCCCTCAGCCTCTCCTCGTAAGTGATGTGCTCCAGCCCCATAATAATTTTTGTTGCCCTCAGCTGGACTCTCTCCAATTTGTCCACATCCTTCCTGTAGTGGGGGGCCCAAAACTGGACGCAATATTGCAGATGGTGGCCTCACCAGTGCCGCATAGAGGGGAATAACCACTTCCCTCGATCAGCTGGTAATGCTCCTACTAATGCAGCCCAATATTCCGTTAACCTTCTTGGCAACGAGGGAACACTGTTGACCCATATGCAGCTTCTCATCCACTATAATTCCCAGGTCCTTTTCTGCAGAACTGCCGCTTAGTCAGTTGGTCCCCAGCCTGCAGCAGTGCATGAAATTCTTCCGTCCTAAGTACAGGATTCCGCACTTGTCCTTTTTGAACCTCATCAGATTTCTTTTGGCCCAATCCTCCAATTTGGGCTTGTCTACACTACCGCGTGGGGTTGATCTAAGATATGCAACTTTAGCTACGTGAATAGCATAGCTGAAGTATACGTACTTAGATCTACTTACTGCAGTCTCTACAGTGCGGTAAGTCGACAGCTGACGCTCTCCGGTCAACTCTGCTTGCGCTTCTCGCTCTGGTGGGAGTACCGGAGTCGACGGGAGAGTGCTTAGCAGTTGATTTATCACGTCTATACTAGATGTGATAAATCGACCCCTGCTGGATCGATCACTGCCCGCCAATCTGGCAGGTAGTGTAGACGAATCCTCAGTCTAGGTCACTCTGGACCCTATCCCTACCCTCCAGCGTATCTACCTCTCCCCCCAGCTTAGTTATTGCCAATCTTGGCCTGTAGGCGGGGCCATTCTCAGATCCTGCCATGGGCTGATCTAGTGGGAAGAAAACACTTTTGTGAAAGGTTTTAATAGCTGCTCTGAGGTAACTAATCAAAAGTATGGAATTTTATTGATGTCCTGGAAGAGATGGATTCGTGGAAAGATTGCAGGTGGTGAAGAGGCCAAAGGTGCAAATTATATGCAATTAATTCACATGCATACAGTATAAATATGTATTGACACACATGTGCACAGACCCTGTCAAAGACCCCATCCATGCTAGGGAAATACTCTCTCTATCAGGCTTTCTGTAATAGTGTTGAAATGGTTTCTCCTGTTTACACTGGCAGTTAAAACAGATTTCAAGACCAGTCATGGAGAAACCATTATTACCAGTGTGGACAAGAGGTCATTTTCAGTGTATACTGGGCCACACTGAAGTATACTTTTCTTCCAAAAATCTCTCTGTTGTGGTTTAGGGCTTACTTGGCAAGTGATCCTGTCTCTCAACACCAGAAATGATAGCAGGGCTTCTCGTCTTCCCTGTAATTCAGGGGGGCAATGGCATCAATGGAGGAGTCCTTGGAAGGCCATATTTTAATTCCCAGCAGACAGCAGCTACAGCACAGATTGCTCTTTACCCACCCCCTGGTGCAGGGGTAATTCTCCTCGCTCTCGGGAGGAGACGTGATAATCCCATTGAGAAGTGGCCCTTGACACTTACCTGATAGGTGATAATAGTTACCTTCCAAGGGGATTCGCACAATGGAACGCTCACAGTGGGAGAGAAAAATTGTCTACATGAGCATGTTCCACGCACTCACTCACTCACTGCTATACTCCTGCCAGCACAGCTCCACCAGGGGTGGTAGCAGGGAGCACACAAATGGAGCCGAGCACTTGTGTTTTTACCCTTGAGTTTACAAGCTTGACTCTGAGCAGGTCTTGACAAAAACGCATTAAGAAGTTGATACCCTGTGTATGCTAACATGGCCGTCATGGCTACCACTTGTGGCGCAGCACAAGCCGGGCAACACGGGCAGCGGTGGTGGGTGGGGGACTAAGAAAAATGCTGGTGGGGACAAGGCCTAGGCGGTGTGAAATGTCGACTGAAATATTATTTGTATTACGGGACTGGCCACAACTGGGGCCCCGTCAAAACACGTACTTGTACTGACAGATGGGGTACACCTAGACTATAGTTTTAACTCATCGGCCAACATGTTTATAGTGTGAGCCTTTTCCTGACCTTTGCTCCAGGACACAATTTTAACAAACTTAATCTCGACCAAGCCACAGACGTGCGTCCTGGAACAAACACTGCTGGAGTGTCCAGATCACTTGTCCTTTTTGAACCTCATCAGATTTCTGGTGGAGTACTGGATCTGAGTTACTACAGAGAATTCTTTCCTGGGTGTCTGGCTGGTGAGTCTTGCCCACATGCTCAGGGTTTAGCTGATCGCCATATTTGGGGTCGGGAAGGAATTTTCCTCCAGGGCAGATTGGCAGAGGCCCTGGGGTTTTTTTGCCTTCCTCTGCAGCATGGGGCAGGGTCACTTGCTGGAGGATTCTCTGCACCTTGTAGTCTTTAAACCACGATTGGAGGACTTCAATAGCTCAGACATAAGTTAGGGGTTTGTTACAGGAGTGGGTGGGTGAGATTCCGTGGCCTGCCTTGTGCGGGAGGTCAGACTAGATGATCATAATGGTCTCTTCTGACCTTAAAGTCTAGGATTCTATGAGTTAGCTATCAATTAACTTGAGTTAAAAATGTCAAGGCCTGACAAACCCATAGCGAGAGAAATGTTCTTCCCCAAAGAGCTTGTAATCTAAGCAGAGAAGACACACATAGGGTGGGGAAAGGAAACAAAGGCTTGGACGTCCCCAAGGTCATACAGCAAGTCAGTGGAAGGGTCAGGTAGAAAACTCAGGTCTGCGGATGGATGCCCAGTCCAGGATCACTGGACCACACTACTGGGACTTACTCCTGAAGGTTCCACTGCCCATGTCTTTTCTGAAGGTCAGCAACCACCTATTTGTTATGCATGTAGACCCACACGTACATTAGCAGAAGAATCGCATGTGATCACAAATGCCACCTATAGATCTGCTGCTCCAAAAACATAGCTCTGAGAAAAGATTGTGTCCCAAAATCCTCAACGCCACATTGTCCCCTGGTACACAGAAGAAAGGAATGCCATTCAACTTTATGCCCTGTTTAAATGTTATTTTATTAAATATTTTCAATTCAAGGTTTCATTGTAACAAAGCTATGAAGGTTCTACCAACATTCAGACCAAACAAACACTAGCTAATTTTGTTTTAATTATTTCTATATCATGCAAAAATTCTGCATCAAACGCCTTCCATTTCCTGTTTAAAATGTGATATTTATAATATATATTATATAGATGCTTATATTAGCCCCGTAAGAGAACATTAAGAATGCTAAAGGTGTACAGCTATGTCTGATAATGGCCATACCAAGCTAAGATTCTCATTAACTTAAAAACAAACAGAGAGCTTGTCTCCAAGACTGTGCAAAACCAAAACAACCCAACCATTTTCTTTTTTAAGTTTTCTCTGAAAGATGCAGTTACTAAATACAGAGGGTCTTTTTTAAACATTAATAATCAATAGGTAAAGAGACAAGGAAAGATCAGACCTGAAGACGGCATGCATAACTTTTTGTATTTCTTTTTAAAACTGCATAATTGTAATGTCCTGTTTGCTCTCTGCGTGGCTTTTTTTTAAAAACAATCTGAAAATATCAAAGCTTTTCCTCTCCACCTGACTCACTAGCTTACTGCCCTCCTAAAAATGTTCCGAAATGATAAGAGACAGTGTTCACTCCCTCCTGTCTCAGTCCCCACCCCACCCACACATGCAGTTGGGATGGTGGAGGAAGGAAGAAAACTATTTGTCCAGACAAACCCTGGGAAGTATGTATGGCCTTTTCCTGCATCATGGATTAGCTGCTCTAATCATGGTGTGGGATTGACCTAAGAGTCTTCCTTTAAAGGGGAGTGGAGGGATTTCCAGAGAAAGGCAGTAACTCCACTCAATGCTACAGCTTACGGGTCCTTCCCATCATTCCACTGAAAAAGGATCAAGATATAATTTAGCCCTCCTTTTCCCTTAGAATCCACTACAACGTTGCCTTCCTTTTAATATACTGTTTACTCTGTCCCTCAGGAGTGTAGGGATAACATACTGTAAAGCCCTAGGACCAAATTTAGTGATTTGTAGATGGAGGGACTTCAGCTAAAAGTTCATGCCAATATCCCACAATAATGACTAAGTCCCTGCCCTCCTCTTGATCAGGACACAGAAATCAGGGGGCCTCTTAGTGCTAAGAGAATCTACAAAAAAAAAAAAAAAAGGCCTTTTGCTTCTCTGGCCCAGGATTAATTCAGACAAATCAACAAAATAATTCAACATTCCCCTTCTAGCAAATAAAGGAAACAGACAGCATCCCCCAACAAAGGAAGGAAGATGAATTTGCCCAAAGGACAAGCATCAGAAGGTCTGTAGTAACTACCTTTCCCCTCTGTATCATGAGGCCTGAAGCCCTCTATCTACAGTTTGCTGAGATTCTGAGTGGATTGTTTTATGAGTTACATCATGACCATTAAAAAACAGAAAAGTTATCCAAAAAAACACCAGGACACATGACACTTACAAAACAGATGGGGGCGGGGAGGGGAGACGCACCTGCCTTGGGTTGCTGGCTCCCTCTACTATTTTACCAGAGAACAAAAAAACAAACAAAAATAATCAAACTGGAAGCCGGTGAGCCCCTTAATTCTATGGGTGCATATATTTCAGTATCAAACACAAGCTAACGATGCATCACATAGAGGTGGATGCGTGAGTCCTCATGAAAGAACATAACACTAGTTTTCTCATCTGCTTCCTAAGGAACATGTGTTCTTCAGCACTGCGGATCTCAGCTACGCTACAAGAAAAAGAAAAGCCATAAAAGAAATCCCGTACCCTCTTCCTCTAAAACCTTTGCTCTTAACGCTTCTTTTGTCAGCAGGCCGCAAACCTTCGTGTTTGGCCAGGGAGTGGCCACTTCTAAAACCAGGATCTCTCAAGAGCAAGCTCCTATTTATATTTTTATTTAAGCCATTTTTTATAGTCCCCTTTTCCAGCCTTGGTTTTACTCGACATCCCGTTTTGTTTTTAGGAAGTCTGTGGGCTCTGGCGGCTGAGCAGCCAGCTTTCCGCAGCATCCGCACCACGCTGAAGACTTAAGAAGAAACTCGGGCTGAAGTCAGTCCGCTGGGCAGTGGGAAGTGGAGAAGTGTCATTCCTCCACCTTTCCCTCCCATTCTTCATTCAGGCCCCTCCAGTGTTTCCTCGCCACCGCTCACTGATTAAAGTCACAGCACAGCCTGAATGCAATGTTAGCTTCCACCTTGCCTTTGTGGAGCAGAGTTCAGCAATCTGCTGCTCAAGCTGCCTTCTCCTCCTCCTCGCGCTCTCTCGCCTTCCTTTTTGTTTCCCCCTCGCTCGGTTTCTGAAAGATGCTCCAGTTGATGCCATTTCGTCAGCCCTGGGGGAGGGGGTGTTGGATAGTCTGTCATTTATTTATCATTATTCCGGTTTATTTTATTTTTTAATACAAACAACATGTCTCTCTTAGATTTAAAAAACACCTTCGTACAGCAGAAACAGACACGATGGATCCATGGAAAACAACAGAAAGGCGGCAGCGCCCGGAGCATCAGATGCATGCAGGGTTTCGTGCATTTGGCTGCTGCCGGTTTGTAATTTGTAATTTTTTTTAAACGTCAAAACGGACATGACCGTCGCTGTCACTCAGGCACTCCAGAGCTGCTTGCTAAGAAGATATTGCCCTCCAGCTGAGTATCTCCAAAAGCTGCTGCAACCAAGAGGCGGCAATGTCCACCCAGAAAGGAGAGAAAAGAATGGGGTGGGAGAAGGAAGGGAAATAAAGCCAAAAGTTAGCTGCACAATTTATACAGAAACTCTCCCACAGCTTACCAGGCAGGGAGAAAACGCTACAAGTGATACAAAAGGAAGGAACACCTCACCACACACAGTGCACCCCAGACCTGGGCTGGGAAGGTGCACCCCTGCAACACACCAGGACGGGACCCTTCTTCCCACCCAGCCCCGTTCTCCAGGCTGGGAGGATGAATCTCCGCTGGTACGGTGAGAAGGGACACCATTATTGCAGTCGCTGCTCTGCTATGGGGCTCAGTTATAGCAGAGGGAAACTCTCCTCACATCATGCTTTAGAGGAGGGGAAGATGAATCCCAGCACTCCAGAGAGAGGGGACAGCGTGGAAGGAATGGTCTGACTGGACCAGACCAAACCTGAGGTCCAAAGTCCAGCCCCAGATGCTTCAGAGGGGAGTGCAAGGCACCCCAAAGCACGTTGTTATGGAATGACCTGCCCGTAGGGACAGTTGCTTCCTCACTGTAAGTTACAGGTCAGCTCCTGCCCTGGTGGAGGTGGGTTCATAACCCTGCATACGGTTTTGTTTTCTATTTAATCTTGTCTAATGTAACTCTGGATGTTCCCCCTATCTGTATATACCACCATTCTCTTTCTGGGTCCTGCTAAGCTGCTGGCCTCAATGATGTCTTGTAGCAATGAATTCCAAAGTCTAACAGTGTGTTGTGTTAAAAAAAGGATTTCTATTCAGCAGTTCTAAATTTGCCGTTTTTTATTCTTGTATCATGAGAAGGTAACTAAGACTATCTGATTTACCTCCTCTCTACTACTCCCCACCTTGGATACCTTTATCATGTCCTCTCTGACTCCTCTCTATGGTAACAGTCTGACTCTTCTCTGCCTCGCTCTTCACGTGGAGGTTCTCATATGTCTAAATTATGCTCATCACTGGACTCCCTGTAATTCTGTTATATCCTGTCTAAAGTGGAGTGAGCAGAACTGAACTCAGTATTCCAGGAGAGAGTGAACCACCGATGTATATTATGGTATTTTAGTATTATCCTCCATCCCATTCCTTCTCCATCTTAATACCTCAGTGCCTTTTGACCACTGCTCCATACTGAGCACGTTTGCGGACAGCTGTCCACAATTCTGCAGCCTTTATCCTGGGGGGGTTATAGTTAATGTAAAGCCCAGCAATGGGCACAAGCAGTTTACACTGGTTTATAATTTGTTTCAGCCAGCGTGACCTGTTACCAAAGGGAGGGTCCCAGGGCTATCCTTTCCAAAGATAGCTATACCATTTGCTACCCTCCAGCCCAGCAGCTGATTCCTGAGGGAATTCTCCAAATATGCAGTTAAACCAACCCAACTCCCAGCGTAGACAGTGCTAAGCCGACAGGAGAATTTTCCCATCAACCTAGCTACCGCCTCTCAGGGAGGTGGGGTACCTACACCAAGGGGAGAGCCCCTCCTATCAGCATAGGTAGCTGAAGCAGTGCAGCTGTACCACTGTAGCATTGTAAGTTTAGACAAGCCCGTAGTCCTAAGCAATACACAGGACTACATTCAAGACATCGCTGCAGTTGAGCCACTTAGTAACAGTGACTACAGTATAATGAAGTTCAACATCCTCTGGGAAGAAATCTTATAGAACCTCATCCGGTGACACTCAATTTAGAAAAAGGCATTTTTAAAAAAGGGAAGAAACTAGGCAAAAAGTTTCTAACATTAGGAAACTTAAATCCTTGGACTCGGCATGACAGCTACGTAGGCACACATAAGAAAGGATGCATAAGGCATGCACACATTTCAACATAAGAGAAAGCAAGGAGATAAGTAAACCAGCATGGCTAAATAATAAGCTTCAAGAGGTTATCTGAGCCAAACTGGTATCCTTCAGAACCAGCTGTTCCAAGAAGCAATTGTTTGACGGTGTCAACAAATTGTTTAGTCAAACTTTGCTCCATTGTGATGTTTGGCCATTTTGTATATGGCCAGTTTAAGTTGCCCAATATTACCATTTCCATTAGCTTTATTTGCCTTTGATCTCTCTCTCGGTATGTTCAAAATCCTTTTGCTGATTAGAAGGCCAGTATTAACATTCTAATATATTTGTATTCTTATGGCTTGGGATTTGTATCCTTATAGATTGTAGTCTATGGTTCTCTCTACTTTGACACTGCCTCATTCAAATCCTAGGGAATTGTTAAACTCTGGAGCAACTTCCCACCTACCTCTCCAACCTCATCTGTCCTTCCCTGTATTGTTTATAGGCAGGCATTAGAGTACCCCACTGACTTAGCATTGCATCATGCTCCTGGAGCACCTGTCACGTCAAGCTCTCTTGCACTACCAGGCAGTCTCATTCACATATGTTTGCTTTTATGCTCCTCATCACTATGCAGACATTTATAGTTTGCATGTGGGGCTGGATACCTATTTGTATTCAACACTTCAGTCTAACACCCTGTTACTTTCCTGCAATTTTACCTCTGGGATCTCAGTCTGCCCACCCCTGTTCAGCTGTAATTTCTGTCTGCTCTTTCCCTGGTTCCTTGCCTTTGTGTGATTGACATTGTTAGAAAAGATCCATGTCAGACCTAGTTGCTCTTCAGGCAACTCTCCCCACGCTCCTACTTTAAATAATCACCCAAGACCTCATTACATTTTCTGCCAGGCAATGGGACCCGCCTGCACCCCAGGACCAGAGAGGTGGAGGCCAGCACATTACAGCCAGGGACCCAATCCCACCCCCACCCCAGAGCCAGGCATATGGCTTCCCTCTGCAGTCCAAGGCCAGAGTGCATAACCTGACCCAAGTGTCCCAGGTTAGCGCCTGGCGGCCCTGCGGAGGCTGAGCCAGCACTAGTGTATCCCCTGGAGGCAGCTGTAGCACTCTGAAATCCTCAGTGAGGGGCTATACCTGCAGGGTGCGACTCCCATCTGCCAACAGAGCGAGCTCATCACCTCCGTATGGTGCACACTCAGGGAAAGGGACACCTGGGGTGGAGAGAGGGCTGAGGGAAATGTTTCACTGTCTTAGCTCCACTCTGCCTGCAGCCAGATAGTAAATGACCATCCCTCAGAGCCCGGTTAATGGCCTCTCAACATTCTGGGCTTCCGATACTTCATTGCCACATACAGCTGCCATGGCCGCATGGTATGTCATCTGCTCTCCCTGCTGGAGCGTACCTGTGTTCGATCTTCACTGGAGCGGAGCGGCAGGGGCCCCAGAGCAGTGATAGTGGACATTCAGCCACTTGCCATCGCGGCGGTGCCAGACGCGGGTCTCTTCAGACTGCGTGGTGCGGGGCCGGCCCTGGCCATCGATGTATTGAGTCAGGCGGATGTAGGCAATGCAGGCTGCGTCTTCGCCAATGACATGGACGTGGGGGTTCAGGATGGTGGTGTGGATTGGCTTGCTGTTCTTGGACAATACTGGGGGGACATGCAAAACCATCAGCTTCATGTCCCCATTGAGAAGATCAAGGCCTCGCATACCACTACATCTACTGTCCCCGTTTCCTTCCCCTCCCACCTGCATCCTAGGCCACAGCATCTCTGCTCCCAACACTCCCGAGGCACAACCCAGCCACCTCTCTTGCTCCCCGAATTCAACCTCCTCACCCCTCAGGTTATCTCACCCTTCAGCTCCCATTTGCTCTGCTTTTATGCTCAGAACACATTCCACACTCCAGGCATCAGTGCGGCCAGTGCCTCAATTACAGGGCCGTTCTCATTCTCAGATGTTACCTGCAGCACAGCTGTATGCAAGGGCCCTTTGAGGCTTGCCAGGACCTCCCTGGGCGCCAGCAGGCCTCAGTGAGTGACAGGCACTCCAGGGCTGTCATGCAGACAATGAGAAAGAGGTGAGCGGGCCCCCTTCACCTCACAAGCCAAGGATCAGTGTGTGCTAAGGGGGCCCTTTCCCCAAGATCAGCCACATGCGGCAGCTCAGGATAGCAGCTCACTTCCTTCGCCCCACACTGTGGTGACTCCTGGGGATGGACGCGGGACAGGAAACCACAGGGGTGTTATTTAAGGGAAGGACAACCCCACACAAGGGCATTTGCTGGGTTTGCCTTCCCAGCCACACGGACAAGGTGTCCCCCCTCTGACCCAGTTACCAAAGGGTTCACCAGGGGTTTGGGATCTGAACCAGGGACGTGGGACCTCAACTTGGAGAAATTCTGAGAGCAATACACTGCAAAGAGCTACGTCCTGGCATGTGTGACAGAGAGTATCCCTCCCACCCCTATGACTGGGCAGGGCTCCCCAGCTGAGCTGGGTTAGCGTCTCTTTCCCCTTTTACACTGACTGGAAACCCAGTGTCTTGGTCCCTTTGAACCACTGGTTCCCACTCCGACAACATACTTTGTGCCAGACTAGCCCCATTCCTAGGGCGAAGAGAAATGAGGGAAACAGAAACCTCACTGAGGGAGGAGAGAAAGTGCTGGATCTTAATAACCCTTCACAGTTCACCCACATTAAACCCTGGTGTCCATGGACAGTCTGAGAGAACTGCAGCCATTTCCCAAGATAGGGCAGAGAGGTGTGAATGAGGGGGCGGTTGGCATTGCTGGAATCTGCCCACTCACAGTTCTCGAAGTAAAACTTGTGGAAGTCCATCCCCTCGACTAGGTTCCCCAGTGCTTCGGGTTCAAATGAGGTCAGGCCCGGGTCACAGATCTTCCTGCAAAGAAAAAGGAATATTCATGCCCCAGGGATTTCCACCCCCTTATAAACTTCTCAGAGCCATCACCCTCTCCTGGACCAGCCCCGAAGTCCACGAGCTATTTTGTGCCATATTGCTAGCTCCTTGTGCTTATTCAGACACATCCCTCCCCTGGGACTGAGACCCATGTTGACTACCTGGAGCTGGTGTGTTTCTTTCAGTTCTGTGGTCCAGCCAAGCATCCAAGCATGTATCACACACAGTCTGTCCCTTAATCCTATCTCCTTCCATCCCGCACTGATCATCCCCATCTCCCTCTGCTCCTGCATCGCAGGGCTTCCAGATGTGCTCCTTTAACGGTCACCTGTTCTGCTGCTGGTATCTGCCTTACTCCTGGTACCAAGTGTTCATTTAAAGAGCCTCCTTGGCTCTAACTCCCATAGCTACAGTTGTCAGAGAGTGAAGCGTAACCCTCCCCACCCCACTGCACTGGACAACCTGCATGACTCGCTCATGGGCAGGGGCCATTCTGCCTCTTGCCCACAGGCTGACATGTAGAAACAGAATGCCCAGTGACACTGTACTTACGTGTAGGCCTCAAAGTCTCCATTGTTGATGGCTTCAATCAGCTGCTCTGTTATCTTAATGATCTCTTGTTTGCGCACTGTGGACGAGAAGTAAAGGCAATTTAACTATGCTTCTGCCTTGACTGGGAGGAAGTGAGACAATCGAGCGCCTCCTACTGGACAATTTGCAGGACGCCATTGACCCTGATCTCACAGGAGGAGCTCCCTGCACTCCAGAGATATGTTATAATGGCAGCCATCTATTCAAGGGCATGGGGTTGGTGGTATGAACGGGAAATGGTGACCCCAGGATGCAGGGAGAAGGGGAATAAAGACACCGTCTCATACTCATTTTCTCCTCCAAAAGCAGGCCTGTCCCAGGAGCCTCATCGTCCCCTGACAGCCTGGGCTGCTTCCAGGGACTGCAAGGAAGGGCCCCGGTCACTGAACAGGCCAACACAAAGGAAAAAGTAAAACCTGGCACCAGCTGTCGGAAGTGAAGCCCCCGCGCCCACGACATCCAGATATAACAGTGGCCACAACAAGATCAAGGCAGCCAAAGAATCCCTCAGCAATTTACCTATCACCATCACTCCCCAGATAGCGAGTGCTGCAAACACGCCATTGGGACACATGCAGGGACAGATTCCACAAGCTGGCGAGGCAACTAAAGCAGAAAAAATTGCCAGCTCTACGGGGCTGGGCCTCATCCCCCCCGCAGTAGCCCATGCTTGGCACACAGCTCCCTGTAACTGGCTTCGGGGCACTCAGCACTCGAATAGCACTGCCACTTCACCCAGTTTTGCTCAGCAGACATTCACGTGGATGGATCTACTGCCTGTCGCTGTCTCAGTCCTCTCTGGCCAGCACACCTATTTTCTCCGGTCAGCTGTAGGCAGCCCAGCTCCCCTCGTCTTGCCATCCTTACCTCTGATATCAAAGCACCAAACCCTGCAGCAAAGCGTGCACAATGAATGGGCTTTATTACAACTCTCAGTAGCAGTCCCTAGGGGCTCACTAGAACTAATCTTTCCTTTGCAGTTCGCATACCTGAGTACACACCGATCCAAGTGCTACATCCGTATACACCGTACACACGCATGCATCTACGTATAGACCCAAGGCGTCCTACATCTGTCTGTCCCCCCCACCCCCCCGCGCACGCTCAATAAGTGAAGGTATTGTATGAACTGCTGGCACTATCTAGGATGCGCTATCTGTGGTGGTATCTGTAAAGCTACGAAATAAATAACCTAAGTGTTGCTATTGTCACCAGCTATCTGAAGCCCCCCCGTCCCCCCCCCATTTCTAACACCAACTGGCCCCGGTTAGGGTGCAAAAGCATAATCTCAGCTGGTGAGAGACATGACCACACCCACTTCTGTAATCCACCAAGAACGTTTTGCTATGCAGCTCCCCACAGATACATTTCAGCCAGTAGCATGAGCTCGTCACATTAACTGAGCAGGTCCTGGCAGTGGGGCTGGTGTACTGTAGCGTAGTGTGTTATTTGTGCACCGATGGGCATGGGAAATGGATCAAGGGGGTGCACCAGATTACGTTAGCTACGAAATGATGCTTCGTGAGCAAGTCATTCATGAGCAATGTGGCCTTCCCTATGAGGATAAGTGGCAAATGGGTTCTCCCACCCAGTGGAGAGAGTACAGATACATTCAGCAGCTCGAGAAGGAACCCCAGGGGCTGGGGGAAGAGCAGAGAAAGATTTTCTTTGGGATGAGTGAAGAGGCCTAAAGCCACAAGAGCCTTGGGATAGCTCATCTCAGAGGGTCTCCAGCTCAACATGCAAGGCAGCATCCACTCCACAGGTCAGACACAAAGCCAACACACAACACTGTGCCTTGCCCCGGTGTTTACTGTACGCACTGAGCTACCACAGCAACAGAGGTGGTGTGTACCCTTACCTCCGAGGCTGGGCACCCCTGGCTTTCACACAGCAAGGCACTCCTGCCTCCCAGTCAAGATGGAAGTCAATACGGCCTCCCCTGCTTTCTCTTCTAGGAAGGGTAATCGAGGACCAACCAACAGCGGTCCCTGAAACCCTCCCCGCCATGTACTGTCTCACACACCTTGGATGATACTGTCTGGGTGCTGCCAGTGGGAGGCCCACACGGCTGTATCTTCCCCAGTGTTGCCCGGTAGTATCTCCACAAGTGAGGAACACAACACAGTAACTAAGGCCCTACCCATACTACAACTTTTAACCAAGTCTGTAGCGACTTCAAGGCACGATTGGCTTTAAACATGGCTTGTGTACACACAGACGGCATTGTTCACACATGGCTAGTGACCACGTGTTCCACCACATGGCTGTCCTCCCGCAACCGGTTTCCCACACTGGTCTACAGTGTACCTGGGACCCAATAATCATGCCTGTGTAAATGGTTTGGGCCAACCCTCTTTCCAGAGCACGTGGCCCCACATGCTGCTCGTGCTGCTCTGTGTGCATGTCCTTCGGGCACTGCATCCACTGCTGAGGAAGTACGGGGCAGCTGCCTGGAGTCTCCCAGAATGCACTTTCACAAGTGCAGTTGGTAGAACGGCTGCAACGGGAGAAACGATTGTGTGTGGACGTGAATTGAGCTATGTTACTCAATGTGACTGTGCCTCTAGCCGACTACAACGGTCACCCCTGTAGCTGTAGCATGAAAGGGCAACTGCCCCCCCCCCCCCCCGAGCAGGGACCAGGAGGACAGGGTGCATAAGGGTGAAGAGGAGGGTAACTAGACGTCTAGAATTAGTTGCACTACTCCACTACTGCTAGCCAACCACTAACTTACACGCTGCACTGTTAAATACAAACGGAACTACAGGAGTTAGCAAAGGCTCCGACTGAGCACGCTCTAACTCCAGTGTCTGCCCTGGGCTGTCCCAGGCAAGAAGCTTCTCCTCACAAGACTGCGTGGCTGCAAAACAAACGTAAGCATTAAAATAATATTAAAAAACCCAACAACAACAGAATGCAAAATAAAACCAACAGAGAAGCACACCACACAGTCCCAGCCCCCATCTCCACACAGACCCACACCCCTTCAACCCCCACCTTCCAGGCTGGCTCCTGTCATGCCGTGTGGGCCGCGCAATGCTCAGAAGGGCAGGGGAAAATCCTTTGGAGCATAGCGGAAATCTCACGGATGCCAAAGGGCTTGGCCTGAGCATGTCCTGAAGCAGCCCACCCTCTCAGGTCAGTGACTGAGCAGCACAGGGGAGAATGAGCAGGAGATCCAAATCACTGCAAATCTAAGACAGGAGGAGCGGGAAGGGAGAATGCTTCCTCGCTCAGGGGGCTCAGCACATCGCACTGCACCGCGGCCAGGGCGGCTGGACAAGGTAGGAAGCAGTGCTGGCGGGGGCACAGCGGTTTGGAGTTAACAGATCATTTCCCTTCCCATCTGGCTCAGAGGACCCTCTCCCCAGTCACTGTGCCTATCAAAGCCACACATTCTTGAAGATGCTTCCAAATGGGAGGCGCAACCACTTCACCAAATGAGCTAACAAGGAGGTCTGATGGGGGGCAGCAAAGGAGGGACAAGAGGAGAGGGCAGCTGTTCCCTCCCACCCATTATAGACAGCTTGATAGGAGGGCTCCCAATACCTCCAGGCATCACTACACTTGTGGCCTTTTCCACTATGGTCCCCTCTGGGTAGGCCGTGAGGCCACTAGGAGAACAGACCCAGACAGATTGTTCCAGGACATGCCTACAGGGAGGGGCATGGATAGCTGGACCACCTGCTCTTACAGTGTCTCTGTTGCCAGGATGCTACAGAGCTGACAGATTCAGGGAAGACCTGGGAGAACACGCAATAAGTGACGGGATTTTTCAGGTCCAAACCCACTGAAGCACTGAGCGAGACACACAACAGAGACGCACACGCAGAGGGAAAGTGCCTCCAGAGTCAAGGCTTCACAAAGAGCTCCAGACACGGCAGAAGGCACAGGGAAGGGGTCTTCCAGCTGCCACAGCCCTACTCCCAGCGAGGTGACTCACTCTACTACTGGTACTCAGCACTTCCATGGCACCTTCCATCTGAGGAGCTCAAAGCTCAACACAAACAGGAAACAATTCAGCCTCACACCACCTCTGAGTGTCAGGCCAGTCTCATTCCATTTTACAGCTGGGTAAACTGAGGCTCGACAGGCAACATGACTTGTGCAACGTCACCCAGCGAGTGTCACTGAAGAGAATGCCATGCCTTATCCACAGGGAAGCAGGGGAATGGAATTAGTGAGGATGAGGGTCCACCTTACAGGGGGCTCTGGAGAATTTCAGCATGTGGGGGAGGGGAGATGGATTTATTTATACGCTGAAGTACTGGAAATGAAAATCCACCCTCTGGAAGGGAACTGGGGAAAGGAAGGTCATGGGGAGGGTGGAGGAAGGATGCTGTGGAGCGCTGCACCCCTGGACTTACTGGCTGAGAAACAGAGAGAAAGCTGGGACTGCATGGACTCAGTCTGTGTTTTGCTCTCACTGTGCCTCCGTCCTTCAAGCACTGAGCTGCCATCCCCGGTGGAGAGAGGGGGAGCTAGCATGGCAGGGAATTAAAAACACAAAAACAACAAAACACGCAGTTCAGTAAATAAAAAAAGAGAAAGGAAGGAGAACATTAAAGAAACCACATTGATGGGCACAGAAACCTGCAAGAGCACCCTCCAGCACAAAGGCAAGCAGCCTGCACTACACCATAGTCCCTCAGTACAATGTAGAACTGCATGCTCCTTTCAGCCCTGCTACACTCCAACCAATGGCTCACTGAGGCATCACTGACCACATACCTAAAGCTGTCTACTGCTCCATTGACATCGGCCTGCCCTTGTACACCTGCCTAGTCTGTCTCATGCAAACTCAGCAGCAGCAAAGTAGCTCCTCGTTCCCCAGGGGCCTGGCTGTATAGGGAGCTGAGGACTCCAAGCTTCGCAATGGAGGGAGGATGAATTTCTTGGCTCGAGTGATGAACACATTGTAACCAGGGAAAGATACCTGCAGTGTGTCTGTGTGTGATAGAGAAAAGGGGGTCCTCCTTCTGAGCCTCTCACTGGATTTCAACTTCTGATTAGCTAACTACTTTGAGGGAGGAGTTAAATCAGGAAGCATTTGGTGAGTGCTGGCACTCCTAGAAGTAAAGGGACAACAGTACTAGCCATGCTGGACATGGTGCAGACAGTAACTGTGCAAGCTTCTTCCCTGCCACCACCCCACACCGCAGCATCTTCTGCTCTTCCAAGTCCTAAGAAGATACCCCCACAGCTCAGTCAGTAAACGCCAATTCTGAGCAGCAGTATCCCTGCCATTCCAGCCTTAGGTTCCCTACATAGCCCTTCAATACACCTTATCCCAACCCATGGTCCCCTTGCTTTGCCAGTGCCGACCCTCTCCTCTTTCTTCACAGCTCTGCTAATGCCCTTCACTCCAGACCTGCAGCACCCACTGCTACAGTTCTAGGCCTCTGCCAAGCACAAATTGCCAATGGTATTGGGCTTCAGTGAAGAGTGACTTCAGAATGTGGACAGTCATCTATTTGAGATTAAAGAGTCCAAACTGGTTTCTGACTCATGTCTCCAGGGATCAGAGGCTACATATTCCACTAGCCATTACTAATCTCCTGAGTCATCCAGTCCCCAACCCTCAAGTTGGCTTCATTCAAGCCTCACTTTGGGCAGAAGTGAGGGCTACAGCATTAGCATGTGATGAGGCCAGGTCTCCCCTTGAAATTGGACCTGTATTAGAGAGTTTGTCCAACCAGCAGTGTCTCTCTCTGGTCCCCATGACTCCTCAGAACGGCTGCCAGCAGCTCATTGTGCAGCGAGTCATGAATCATCACAGCTGACTCATGTGGTATCAGTAAGAACAGCCCCCTGAGACTGGCAGGGCTAGAACTAGTGCTGTCCTGGGTGTTTGACAGAACAGGCTTTGGTTATAACGGGGGAGAGTACACCTGTGCCTCACTGCTTCCTACTGCCTCTCCCCCACCCGAGAGAGAGAGACTTCAGAATTTGCTCCCAGGGAGAGCACTGTCTCCTCCACCACATTCCTCTTCAGTGTGGCTGGAATTTCCCTGACTTGCTTACACTTCCCAGTGTACTGGGCAGCTGCTGAAACACTGCACTCCAGGCCAGGCAGGTCTGACTCATGTAAGTCCATCACAAGAAGGAGAAAGGATTGTACAATGTGGTCATGTAGAGGTATACAATTTCACCCCCCTTTATTAACATCTCTCTCCTCTAACATGCCCCAACGCTGGGGCAGCCAGGGAATTCCATTTCCACCTGCAAAGGGAAAACAGAACAGAGAGAGCAGAGTCCCTTTGCCCTGGACCAGAGACAGTACATCCATCCAAAAGACATGGGTGTGGAAACAAGAGAGCTTCTTGGACGGGGTGAAACAAGGAGATCTCAATCCCCTGCAAGCTGTGTCGAAACACAGAAAGGAACAGCTAGATTCCAGATCTGAAGAGGGGAAAAAAGAGAGAGATTCCAGTCCTGTAAATGGTTGGGAATGGAGAGATTCCAATGCCCGTGAGGACAGAATTCCCACCTTGAGACTAACAAGACACACAACTTGGGGCATGGAGGGTTCACATGCCCCAAAAGCCAGGCTGGCCACTTCCTCAAAGCAGACTGAATGGTGCATACCCATGACCCCACTGCAATAGGCCTGGCAGACAAAGCCATGGCAAACTCAAGAACCGAATCAGATGCACAGCTCTGGGGATGTTAAACCATGACGACTGAACTCTGCAGGTCGGACCTCCAGAGTCTCCTGCCCACAGCCCCACAATATCACCTACCTTTCAGATCCTCATCTTCAGTGGTGGTGTTACAGCTCTCTGTGGAACCCTGCACGGCACAAGAGAATGTTACTAGATGGCAAAGTCAGTAGATTGAAGACACTTCCGTTTGTCTGTGGAAGAGGATGGGGGAAGGGCAAAACAAAGGAAGAGACAGGAACGGGATGATAGAAGGAGTACTACTAAGAGGAGTGGGATGAAACCGGGCAAAGCATTAGTCAATACCTAGCAGCAAGATCAATTAGGCGTTGGAGTAGCATCTCATGAGAAGTGGCACAAGCCCTCAAAGCTGGGGCCATTCAAGAAGGCAGCACCAAGCCCTGGGAGTATATATCACAGGGGACAATTCCGCACTCACCCTGAGGAGAGTTCTCCTATGAGGTGAGAGAAGAGGGAATATGGATCACCTACAACTGTACCTTAGAGCGCACTGAAAGGAACCGGTCTCCAACTCCAGAGCCCACCATTAGTATGCACTTGGTGAGGATCTTGCCCACTGGGTCAGGAAAGGGACAGTGAAATCTGACTTGGAATTTACTAGCCCTCCCTGCCCAAGTGTTCTAGAGGTCCACAGTCACCTAACAGAACCCTCCCAGTGCCAGAGCGACTGTTCACAACCATCCTGCGATGCATCGTCAAAGGGGCAGGAACTAGGGTCACGGAGGTTTCCCTAAGGAAAAATAATAGCGACACGCCCTTACCTTTATGCCATCTGTGGCATTGTGGACAACAGTCGTTTGAGGCTCCTATGAAAGGAGGGGAGAAAAGAATTAAACTCAGATTCTCAAACCTTTTCCCCTTGTTTTCACTCTCCAACAAGCACAGAACAAGTGACCAACATGGAAACAAATCACAAACAAACAAACTCCAAGCTGCTGACGTGTGTCCAAACACACACTTTCTGCTCCAAGGGCTTCTTGAAAAGAGATGCTCAACAAACAGCTACATTCGCAAGGAGACAAAGCCCCCAGACACCCACTAGGTTCCAATTTGCCTTTTGAGAACATTGTTGGCACACACACCTTAAACCTGTGCCCAGCTAGCAGCTGGGAGTATAAATCTCCACCCTCTAGAAGGCAATTGACTAAGCAATGAGCCCTCAGCAGGTTCTCTCTCAAAGAACAGATTTTTGGGGGAGGGGGGCAAGGGGGATGGTGGTGGGTGGGGCAAGGGCCTTTGTCTCCCAGCTTTCCATTGAGTTTGCCAGATTTTTTTACTCTGAAAAGGGACATTCATAATTTCCATAAGAAAAAAGGGGATAAAATAAGACAATGTGTCCCAGAGAGGAACTGCTCAGGGAACTGGGCTGCAAAGGAAAATGCATAATTTGCTAAAACAAACGTCTCCCAAATGAGACATCTGTAACACAAAAAAGCATCAGAAAGGTGCCTTCAGCACCAAAAGAGGAGCAGGTAAAGCCAATGCAGGGGAAGCTTAAAATTATGAAATGTCCCAGGGAAAAAACTCTCTGGAATGTTACAGAAAGCAGCTGCTAGGCCTCCAGGAGCACAAGCTAGTTTCTGCACTTATCCTTTTGCTCTGGAGACAACACGTGGGATCCTGCCCCATGTCACCCACCTACATCACTCCTCTGGATAGATCGGCAAGGGCACCAGGGGCTGCGATGGTAGAATGCACTCTCACCCATCCATCTCCACTACCTACTTGACTGCTGCCTGATCTTCCAAAGGTACCCAGGTAGAACGCACTTGGGCTGGGCTGCTAAACATACCAGGCACAGCATGCCCTACAACCCCACTGCATGTTGCAGAACATGAATGGGTGATGACAGCACAGAAGGCGATTAACTTCGCAGCCAATAGTGCGAGGGGGCCACAAAGGGGTTCCTTTGAGACATGTGTGCCCACCCCACCCACTCACGGTGGCCTGAAGTCCATGCTCCGGGTGTTGGAGAGTGACTCCATCGTTATCTTCTTCAAAACCAGCCTCCCCCAAGTCAGAGATGAAAATTACACAGGGATGGTGAGGGGGTAATCCAGGCCGGCTGCAGTCCCCACATCCAACCACCACTCCACTCAGCTTCCGCAGCCCCCTACGGCTGTGACTAGACCCCACAGCAGCAGAGGGACAGACAGAACTAAGCCAAAACACAAGCTCAGACAGAGCAGAACAAGCAGCACTCAGGGAGGCAAGAGTCAAAAGTAACCCAAACAGGAAAGACAAGGAAGTAGTAGTAGTCAGGGAAGATACCATGGACGTCTGCACTGGGGGAGATTCTTTTGCTGGGCTTACTAGACTGGTTTTGTTGTTGCTCTGTGGCTGAGACAGAAAAACAGATTGTTTTAGTTCCTCTGCTGGGTAGCAGAGTCAGCAAATCTTTCAAGTATTGTCCTTGTAACTCCCCACCATCTCCTCAGCCCCCATCCCCACACACTCATCTTGCAGCAAGAGATAAGGACAAGGGAACCCATCCCTGGTCGCTAGAGACCATCCTTCCCCCGGGGGTGACCAGGTGTAAGCAGATGTACCCATACCCAAATATACATGGATGGTTAGAGCGATGGGAAAGGAGAGCAAAAGAGGCAGCAGTCCAAAGGGGGAAGGGAGGTAGAGAGAGGTGCAAACAAGAACCTCTGGGGCAGGAGGGCTGGGAGCTGGCGGTGACCCCAGGAGATGAGGACCCAGGGCTGCGTACAGACAGACTACAACTGTGATAGATACAGGAAATGAGTGGGGCAATCTCAGACATGGCTGGTCTGGGATTGTGCCTTTGGGAACCCAGGCATGGGACGATGCTGGCAGGGCCCCAGAGAAGGTGCTCAGGTGGGACAAGGGATGATGGGGATGTGTGGAGTGACATTAGGGCCAGAGCATGAAGGAAGCTGCCAGGGGTGAGTGAGTCCTGCAGGCTGCCTAGCTGGTTTGTGTTTTTCCCCAGTGAGTTTCTCGTAGACAGGGCTGGTGAGTAACACCTCTGTCTTCCTCATTCACACAGCCCAACGGCGAGGCAGAGCTACCAACCCCCCTCCTGCTTGCAGCACGAAGACCTTCTGTTTGGTGAGAGTGGCCCTGCTGAATCAAGAAAGTGCAGGCCAGGCCAGCATGCACCAAGGCTTCTTCCCATGGTGCATTGCCTCGCCTGGGAATCCAACCATGACCCTGCATGAGTCTCCCAAGGGCCCGCGGTGCAATGCTGGGGGAACAGGCCTGTCCCCCACACAGGAGGCAGGGCTCTCGTGACTGAGACAGTTTCACCCCTCTTCCCCTATGTCTTCCCTTCTACCCAATGTTAGCAACAAGATAAAACCAGCAGCACCGCAGGCTCTCTGCAATCCCTTGGCTACAAATCAGACTCGTAGGGACTCAGACTTCAGAGCTGGCTGGCCTCCTTGCACCCTCTTCCCCACCCTTCAAAAGCAGCACAGAGAGGGTGACTCAGGGGATCCTAGTACATCCACCACCTCACCACCCAGGAACCAAAACCAAGGCTGGGGGATTTCGAATTCAAATGCTAAATCAGAAAAGGCCTGGCGCGAGTTTAAACACACCCACTGCAAGCAGATAACATGGGGCTGAGGTGCCTGTGCGGCCCCGCACCACTCTCCTCTCCTCTGGCTTTCCTTCCATAGCCGCATGCCCTCCTGGAGCTCTATTCAGGTCCCATGGGGACAGAGCATGGTGGGCTTGCCCAGCCCCCAAAGCTAGGAAAAGAGCAGCATTTCCATGCACACATCAGACACTCCATCTCAGTGTGGCCACACATTATCCTGCTCTCCGGCCTTCCGTGTACACTGCTTCGGCAGGGGTGCTTCTAGCCTGCTGGTGCAGACATGTGGGGGGAGCTGCCATGTGGCTGGACACCTGACTCAGCTCTGGAACAGGAGGCAGCTTCACTGAAAAGAACCTCCGAGGGAGCCACTACAACCCCAAACCTCACTGCAGAACAGCTGATAATCACCCTTTAGGTCTCAAGGCCAGCTACCTCACACAACTCAGCCCCACAAGAGCTTTTGAAACGCATGCAGCAGACCTGTTCTCCATCCTGCATGGAACACCTGGCTGCCCAACCTGACCCCACTGCTGTCCCAACAGAACTGAAGGAAGAGGTAGTTCTGCACAGCGTATCAAGGTCCCGGACGTTCGCCAGCTGACCAGATCCACAGCATTGTGCTTAATTCCCCTATGAAGCCATTACGAAACCAAGGACACAGAAAATGTGACTGGCGTGCTCCACATATCTGTACCTTAGGGAGATGCCTGACCTAGCGACTTCTGCTCTTTGGGCCTCTGTGGCCATTTAACCAATTGCTCTTCACTTTCACAGGCAGACACCCCACATATGGGCTCAGTAAGCAAACAAGTGAGCCACGTGCATGCACACCCCTGCCCCTGCATGAGCACCAAGTATCCTTACAGATTCGTGCAGTACAGATGAAGATCTTGACTTTTAAAAGAAGGCGGTCCACATAGGAAAGCATCAGGCCATTGAGAAGAGCTACTTGATATGACCAGTTTTGGCAGAACCAGTGAAAGTGCTCTCTGAGCTAGACAATGAGAGACAGACAGACAACACAGAGGGTGCAAGAGAGAAAACAGACCAGTGACCATAGCACTAAGGACACAGGTGCCAGCCAGCTAGAAGAAAGGAAAGCAAACACTGGCCACCTGGGCTTGCCCTGTATTCACTGGTTGTTTCTCCAAGCTTCACTGCCCCAGTGATCCCTGAGACATTGTTTGATTCTCATTTCCCAGCTGCCTTGATGCAACGAGCAGAGGGAGCGTAAGGGTAGGTGCTGATGTTGAGCAGAAGAGAAGAGGACAGACAGACACCAAGAACTCCTACCCCTACATTTAATACTTTGGGGATTGAGAGAAGGAGGGGCTGCAGCCCCGGAGTCAAATTCTGCCCTGGGGTATTCCAAGTGGTACTTTGGGATTTATTACTTGTAAAGTTTTAATGTGACCGAGGGAGGGCAGAATTCCCAGGCAGTAACAGAGAAGCTGACTCCTCTGCTCTGGCATCACTCAACATTGCTTGCTTTCCTGCCTTAGGGAGCCCCTGTTCTGTCTGAAAGGAGGCAAAGGCTGCAACGCAGCAGACGGTAGATTCCTGCATGTTAGTTACCACCCACATCTCTGAGACAGAGACTTGGGCAGTAGCTACTAGGCTGCAGATGATCCCCTGGAATATGGCACTGGCTGGTTTTCTTTTTGCTCGCTTGAGATATCAGCGCATCACCATTTATCCAACATGTTCTAGAGAAAGCAAACATATTCGGATGCATGAAGGGGGAATGGATACAGTGGGGAAGGTGTCACTGGGTACTTGATTCATGCTGGGAAATGTAACAGATCTGGATAACAGGGAGTTCTGGATTACAGGGCTGACAAAGCTTTTCAGTATAGAATTGTAAAGAAAATAAATTAAGGGCTGCTTTGAGCCACCAGGTGGTGCTGTTCCTGCACCTTTTATTTTGTGTGCCTTGGAGCTCCATGAGAGGCCTCTGCCACATCAAGGGTGACTCCTATTCATTCCACACTGCAGGACTACCACCACTTGCTCTTCTTTTGGCACTTCTACAGCAAAATGACAAGCCCATGTTCAGACAAGACACAGCTCTGCTTTGCCGAGACCCACCGGGGAGCTGATGACTTCTCCATTTGTTTCTCCTTTGGATCAGCCGCCAATGGCAGGATATATTAAACTGCATTTTAAGTAGCCAGTTTTCTGTACATAATAGAAGCTGGTGACTGGCCAGCTCCTGACCAATCACGTGGCCTTTTCTGTGAGGACATGGACCTTTAAAGTGCAAGATGACTTTCCCCCCACAACCCCCACACAGACATGCTATGTAGGGTGATGAGCATAAGCTGAGCGTGCATGGCATGAGAATGGTGGACGCACGGATCACAGGCAGCTTACGGGAGGTGCTCACCATCAAATGCACACTGGAGCTCGACTTCCTTTTCTGGACACACCATTGAGAGAGGGGGAAAAAGAAGGAAGAGAGGCGATGAGAAGAAAAGCACAGAAACTATTCACCCGTTAGTGCCACCAACACTCCCCTGGGGCAGGAAGGAGAAGCAGAAGAAATGCAGACTCACGGAAAGGGTGCAAAGTACAGGCAGTGTTAACAAAGAACACCCCCCCACACACGGGAGGGGAGGGACAGGACCAGGGAGAAGACACCCAACATGTGCAGAGATGGGGGCGAGGAAGGAGGTACCAACATGCACAGAGCTGGAGGAGGGGAATGTTCACATGCAGAGGGGTGCCTGCAGGTGCCCGCAGACTAGGGACGAGGGAGAAGCACCGCTTCCCACAGAGAAGGGGCAGGCAGAGACCACCCCCATGCATGCAGATGACAGGGAGGGGTGCCAAGCACTCACAGGGCAGGAAAAGGAATGCACGTGGGAGAGCTTGGGGCACCTCCAGGTGCAGAGAACAGGGAAGGGTTCCCCATGCACACAGACAGGGGAAGCAAAAGGCACTCCCAAACAGAAAGGGGGAGGGGCAGGGGAGTTGATACACACTGCCAGGCACAGATGGGGAGGGGCCCCCACACTCAGGGTCTGTCTGCACTACAAACAAGGTGTGTCCTTAACTTGGGTCAGCTAACCCAAGTTAAAATAGCACTGAAGGCATGGCAACTCTGCTTTTACCTTGCGTGAGCAGCTTGAACTCAGGCTATGGGGGAGCCTAGGGGCAAACCCTCCCTGTACCGTCACTGGAGCTAACCCCCAGGGGTCAGTTAAACTGTTCAATACCCACCCCTTCTGCAGGGTGACAACCCCTCCCTCCCCCCCGGCTGGTGTTCAGAGAGCCTCTCGCACACAGAAGTGGGATAAGGGGCACAAAGGGCCTTGGTCCTCGAAGACATCTCTCCCCCCGTTTTGTTAGCTTATGGGTCCCCACCTGGCCTGGGCATGAATCCAACCTTAATCCATTGCTCTGCCAGTGCTCTCACACATGTACAGAGGAAGTCATACAGACAGTGTCATTCAGAGAAATAGATGCTCCCCTCAACACACACACATAGCACCAGATGCATTCTCAGACACTCAGCATGGTTTGGGACCAGGCAGGCAGGGTATGAACAACTGCAAATAGAAATCTATTTCCTGCCTCATTCTGAGCCTGTATGTGAGAGTTTGGGGCTCTTGAGTAGTTGCAGACCTTCTCACATGTGGCCCACCACGCACCAATCTTCACAGAGGCAGCAGGAACTGGCCCTCATCCGCCCTATGTTCCAGGGCTTCCCCCAGCCTTCTCCCAGGGAATGTTAGCATCTCCACAAGCTTTTCTGAAACTTGCAGGGCCACCCAAAGGGCTGCAATTAATGATCTCGATGAAGATATAACCCCTAGGGAAGAGCATTCAAAGGACCATTTTTGAATACCCACACACCACTTTATGGGCTTCAGAACAGGGATTGTCCATCGGCTAAGTCAGCCAGCCAAATCCAGTCTCCTTTTAGGCCAAGTCAGAGCAAAGTGATGGGCTGGGTTGGAAAGCCAACAGCAATGACCTAAGCATCATCGTGGAACATGACAGTGAATCCTGGGACAACCAGAACCAAGAACACTGGCAACCAGCAGGGACACCTCTTCTCCTTCCCCCAGGGACAGATCTGTTTGTACTCTGCCACAGCTCCACTGGAGCCAATGGAGCCATTACCATTTACCCCAGCCAAGGAACCACCCCTCAAACTTTAGGCTTCACCGTCTTCTACAAATCTACGGAAGCATATGACAGACAGAACACAGTCTGATCTGCACCCATATGCTACAGGGAAGCTTCTCCCTGGGGGGGGGGGGGGGGGGGAGAATCAACCTCATTCTGAGCTTTGATACATTTCCAAGAAGAAGAAAAAAAGGGAGGGTGGGGAGGAGAGACACAAGAGATGAGACATACAGATCTTCCAGGGCAGTTTATATTCGATTCCCATCTATACAGCATCAGCAAGACCACTGGCACAACAGACTTAAATAACTAGCTTGTGAAAATGGTAAGCTAAGAAACAGTTGTCTGTCAGATCTCAGTATCAACGCAGGGTCCAAACAAGTAATACAAAAAATACAGAAACAACCACCCTCTACCTCTCTCCCCAGGAATTACACAGGGAAGAGGAAATCTCAAGCTCTCTGCAGATTTGAATGTTAACCCACTAATCAAAGTACAGCTTAAATTCAAACACCAGTAACCGAACAGGAAGGCCTCTGGAAGTTTTGGACACCACATAATCCCCACCCCGTATAACAGGAAAAAAATACCAGATAAACAATAAGAAGTGGATGAACAGATTTTAACTCACACAAAAAAGGTAAGGAAACTAATTGAAACCTGCGGGTAGTGATCGATCTATTGGGGATCAATTTATCATGTCTCGTCTCGACACAATAAATCGATCCCCGAACACGTTCCCCGTCAACTCCGTAACTCCAGCTCGCGAGAGGCGGAAGCGGAGTCGACAGGGGCGCGGCAGCGGTCGACTTGCCGCCGTCCTCACAGGCAGGTAAGTTGACTTAAGATATGCTGACTTCAGCTACGCTATCTGCATAGCTGAAGTTGCGTATCTTAGGTCGACCCCACCCCCAGCGTAGACCAGGGCTAAGATTGTTCCACAAGACAGACGTAGGCATATCTTACGACTAGATACTACACGACTAATCAGTGCTCAAAAACATTTTTTAAAAAAAAGCATCCATGTCAAAATATACTTGAGATTGTGACAGCACTTGATAATACTGTCTGGCACCCATGGAGAGAAATGCAGCCCACCACAGCCACACCAAATTGCCCTAGTGCAATAAAGCACTTCAAGCAGGGCCAGAATGATATCCAAACCCAAAACCACTCATTCTCCATTTACAGGCACTTCCAGAGGGCCCCTTGCAGTAGTATTAGCACACACAAACCATAATGGTAGATGGCGCTCTCCATGGAAGTTAACTTATCAAATTGCTCTTAAAACAGCCAAATAACCCCTCCAGAAATGATAAAATACTTGCAGTCTCCAATAGAGGAAAGCTTGCAGCCCACAGCAAATTCTACATTTAAATATCCCGACCATCTAATCTAAAGGTATCGATTAGAACAACCTTCCAATGGTAATTAGTGAAGTTACTAGAGGAAGAGCACCTGTATATTAACAGACAATACAAAGCAGGGAGAGATTCCTTGTTCAAACAGTTAAAGGTGCTTTCTTTTATTTAACGACAGCAAAAAAAAAAGTGTGTTTCCAGATGCTGGAAATATGCCTCTGAGCCAGTGATGATGGAAACAGATCTCACTGTATTTACTGTTTTCCTGACCATGTGAGTATTCTAATGAGGCAACATCACGTCCTAAGAGACTGCCATAAAGTATCCCCAAATCTCTTTTCCTAACTCCAGAGGTCACAGTCAGGATCAGGGCCCCTTTGTGCTAGGTGCTGTGCACCAGATAGTCCTTGTCACAAAGACCTTAACGTCTAAGATGACAAATAGCCAGCAGCAGGAGGAGCAGGATACAACCTACAGCAAACTGGCCATGGGGATGGTAGGCGCTAAGCTTGTTAGGTAACTCCTTTCTACAAAACAGAGGGATATATCAGCCATACACAGCAATGCCTTTACCAAGTTTTGGGCTGGTCAATTCCTTATGGACTTCCAGGAGAAGTGAGTACTGAGAGCCATCTGAAGGAGGGGGCTCTGGCCTTACAGCCCTGTTGAAAGGCAGGCTGTTCCATGAACAAAGGAATATGCGAGGAAGCAGACAGTGGCCAGCCAAGTCGAGAATCACTGGTGGACTAGAGGATGCCGGGGCAGGCAATGGGATAAGGGAGAAGACTGAATAAGTAGGGAGGGGAAGAAACGTGAAGGGCCTTGAAGAACAGAACAAGAAACTCCACCTTTACATGGTGAAAACTAGAAACGACGGGGGGATTCAGAGGGAGACGATGTGGTCAGACTTGGAGAGAGGAGGATCTTAGCAGCTGCCTTTTGACCTGATGTGTTGGCATGGTCTACACTAGAAAAGATTTACTAGTACATAGCTATACCAGGAAACTCTCCTAGCAGAGACACAGTTTATATCAACAAAAGATTGCTTTTGCCAGCACAGCTTTTATACAGGTTCCCTGAACAAAAACTATACCTGCAAAAGCACTTTTTACATTAGGGCTTTGGCTGGTATAAAAATGTCATAAAAAAATCACTCCTAACAGACATTACTATCCATCGGAAGTCTGACACGTTTGCCTAGCTTTAGGTGGGCTGAGAGTTTTCAATGGGAGGATGAAAGGTAAGGGGGCCCAGTTGGCCACTGCCTTATCCCTTGTATCAACACTTGCAGCGGGAGCACAATACAGGTTATGACTGGAGTAGAAAATTGGTCTTGTGGAAGGACACGGGACTTAGGAGACCTGGGTTCTATACCAAGCAGAGGGACTTATGGAAATGGTTTACCCAGCGTGTTTGATGAGTTGGGGATGATGCGGTGGTGGGACCAAGGGCTGGCCTTTGGGAATAGGAGAGAGAGATGAACAGGAACACTTGTATTGTGATGGGAAGGAGAAGTTATGGAGGAAAAACAAGCAGCCACCCATGAAAGGAGAGCAGAATATCTACATTGGGACTGGAGTGCAGAATTTTGCCTTCGGTAACCACAAACAAATGAGCAGAAATCACAACACTTCCCTATGAATCATCACCCCCCCTCCCACCGCCCCCGAGCACAACAGCAGTAATCTTAGAAATGGCAGGCAGAAATCATTCTAAACCCCACAGAAAATAAAAAGCAGACTAGACGATGCTGCAGGAAGTAAACAGTGACTCAAATCAAGTTAGCAAGAGTAGTTCCTGCTCTGGAGAAGCAAACTGGGTTCTGGGGTCTTAGCACAAGTATTTTACACGGCTTCTGAAAATGCAATCATCTGCAGGGAATTTTCTCTCAATGTGAGACTGGAAAGAGCATTCGTGGATATTA